CGGGTCCTCGCTGCAGCCACACCCACGCTCCTCAGAGCTTGGGCACCCCAGGGCAGCGCCGACGGCCCCTGCTCGGGCCTCTCCCGGGAACACGGAAGTGAAGTAGGAGGTTTACCCGGAGGCTTTCCCATCGCTGCAGCGTTTGGTCTTGGTGTGGCCACGTGACGTGGTTCGTTCCTTTCCCTTGGGCCCAGCTTCCAGAGCTAAGATTTTATTTTAAACTTGGTCAGAAGAGTTTGGTTTTAATTATCTGTCTTCCTGAACTCCCGATAACTTCACGTTAAAAGCTTTCGTGGGGGGTTTCCTAGCCAGTCTCTGGTGTTCGGAGAAGTCTCCACATTTCACAAATCAAAGCCAGCCCTGTTCCGTCCCTTCCCAGGGTTTCCATCTGAATTCATGGTGCTCTTCGCTCTGTTCTTTTATTAGAAACAGGCCCCAACCAATGAGATTGTTATGGGAGAATTCAGGAGGTATGAAAGGAAGGAGCCTGCTTCTTGGTTTCGGAGCATATTTTAAATTATGGTGCGTCTGGCTCGTCTTTCTTTTTACTTTCTGTTTTCTGTGTTCGCTTTGGTTTCTAAAGTCTCTGCTGCTGTAGGCCCCATTCACAATGTCTGTGGCCCCCAGTTGGGCCATAAAAGCTGTGAAAGTAATTCCTTCTCTGGGCCGTTTGCCTCTAGCTCAGACACACCAGAGAGCCCGGCCTCAGGGGCCATCAGGCGTTTATTTTCAGTGGCGGCAGAGCAGCGGTCTTCAAGCAGAAGGTCCTCCTGAGACGTCCTGACTAGAGCACGTGCCACGGGACATTGGTCTTAACCTGTAGGCTGCGTAGAAGGCTCGGGCCTCTCCTAAAATAAACGACGTCACCATGGGCAGATGCGCCGTTCAGACCTGGCTCGAGAGTGGAGTGAGAGCCGCTGCCCCACGTCCACGGGGGGAGCTTGCAGGGAGAGATGGGCCTTTCCCAGAACACAGGCGAGGGGAACCCCCGCTCCTGGCCTCCGAAGGGTGCAGATTGGCTGGGGCCCCAGGCCCTGTGTTCTGGGGCTTCTCCTCAGTCGCTGCCCATGGGGCCGACTCTCAGGCTCCGCTCTGGAGGGTCTTCGATGTCCTTCCCCAGCCTCTGACGCTGTCCTTTACTGCCCCCCCGCCCCGGCGAGACCATGTAGGCAAGCCCGCACTGCCCCGCCCCCTGCTCTCCAGACCCACTCCGTGCTTTCCCTGCAGGGACGGAGTCAGCTCTTTAGACTGAGACACAGTGTCCGGGTGACCGTGAACTGTGCTCAGTTTGAGTGACAGGAGGAGGAAGAGGGAAAATGGAAGTTAAGTCTCCACGAGTTCAGCCACTCTGCTCCTTTTACCCAAGAAACCCAAACTTTCTCTCCCTAAATCTAACCACTGTTTGTCCGTCAAACACCAGATTATCTAGGATATCAAGAAACCAAGCAAACCAGTAGTTTCTGGAAGTGTGATCTAAATACCAAAGCCATTTTATCAGAAGCTGGGGATTGAGTCCCAGGTCCCGTACACTTTTAACCCACTTGCCCTCTGGCCTCTGAGAACTGTCTTCTCAGGCTAATTTCTGTTACGATGAGAGCACCATCTCCTCCAGAAATCCCAGGTGTCTTCCTTCTTTGAAATGATATTATTTGCTTTATGGCAAACAATGCTACCTCTACAACCTACAGTGCTACAACCGTGCTACCTCTGTGGCCCCAAATCTTGTTTTCTGAGACTCTCACTCTTCTCTAAGGAGTTAGGTCACCTTCTCGGGACGTGGCTAAGGCGAGTCCTTGAAGGCAATGATAAAAAGCCCGAGGGTTCCAGGGGGCTCCAGGATTTGGGCGGCGGGGGGGGCGCGCGGATGGAGGGCGGGCTTGGAGGGAGCCCCGTTTCCTCTGACACCTGGATCAGGTGACAGTCTACTCGTCACAACCCCCGATGAAAGTTCATCCCAAAGAACTTGATAACCCGCATCTTACGTGCCTGAAGAGTACAACAAACAACAGACTGTGCTATTTGCTTTCAGTTACCCCTGGCAGGTAGAGATAGGAGTGCCGCTCTTGGGCAGCCCCCGTAGGACGCACCGCCCTCCAGGGGCTTTTTCTGATTGCTGCGTGGCAGCGCTAACCTGTTTTCCGGGTCTTGAAGTTTTTGCCTGTTTGTATCTTGCGTCAGCCTCCTCAGTGGAGGCCACCCAGTGTCACTGTGCGGTGCCGCCGTGCCTGAGAACTTCCGCGGCTGCGATGACGGCACCAGCAGCCCCGCGGCACTTCCAGGCCACCCCGAGTGGGAAAGGCTGGTGACCCGGTGGTGACCCGGTGCTCTGATAGGAGTCGGTCAGTGGAGGTGAGTAGTACGCTTTGATACCACAGAACGGCTCAGACTGAGGCCTGGGAGAAGCCAGCCTTCCCTGCCTTAACGAAAGGAAGAACTTTCTTCGCTTAGACAGGCAGCGGCCAGCGTCGGCACAGCAGACTGAAAGCTGGAGATGCAGTAAAGTCTCCCCCCACAGATCACGTCCTTGCAGAGCGGATGCTGCAGCACCCTCAAGTGAGACCCCACAGCCTGGGCACCACCGAGTCGGTAAACAGACGCGTCTGTCGGTCACGTCGTCAGGCCCCCGTCTGCGCGCTGGGCACAGGTGTGCTTGGGTTTCTGTGGGAGAAGACGACCAAGGCGTGGGGCGAGCTGGCGAGGTTGTAAAGGGGTCGTTCTCCGTGCCTGGGGGAGGGCGTGGGAGGCTCACAGAGGCTCTCCCATGGGGGCGATGGAGCGTGAGAAAGGCCGTTCTGCCCGGAAGCCTCGAGAGAGTGGACGGTCGGCGCCTGTGAGCTCAGTCCCCACCCCTGCCCCGTCCCGGTCTCCCAGGTCCTGAGTTAACTTGCTGCTCTAACCAGCAGCAGCCAGTGTGGTGCGTTTACAGCTGCGAAGTGAGGCGGAGCTGGCAGGGCGTTGAGGCGTCACGGGTCTAGATGTCAGAACAGAGACTGGTTCCCAGGCACAGCCGATGCGGAGGCCGGCAGGCCCCTTCCCGAAGGCTGAGCTGTTGGCTGGGTGTTTGGTGAGCAGTGCAGGCCCTGAGGGCGTCACTGGGAGTGAGCCGGTGGCCAAGCCGCAGGGAGGGGTGTGCGGGGAGACCTTGGATGTGTGTGTGTGCGCGTTTCCCGAGCGTCATCTTCTCGTCCATTTCTGCCGGGAAGGGCCCCCGGACTCCGCACTGTTCTCTGTTGCCCCTCCTCCCCATCTGCCCTGCGCTGCTCAGACGGGCCCATCGGCGCTGCTGCTGCTCTCACACAGCTTCTCTGCTGCCCCTCCTTGGGGCCTCCCCTACGGGCCCTGCTCTCCGCGGCCCTCCAGTTCAGTAGGGCCCCTGGCGTTGCCTGGGATGGAGTTCGGCCTCAGTTACTCACGGGTCTGGGGCGTGTCCCATTGGGCAGTCCCCCTGGGCTGTGAATGCCCCCTGCGCCCCCCCGGGCACCACCAAGGCCAGCTCTCAGCACAGAGCTGGCAGGTGGGCATGGCCACCGGGGGAAACCTCAGCACCACTGAGCACACTGGAAGCGTTTTTATATATTAAGTAATTCTTGAGACATGGCTAAAATTTAGTTTCTTTTTTGACAAAAGTCTTCAAGTCAGAGAAAAACAACCCTTAGTTAATGTTGGTAAAAGCAGTGATTGATGGGATATTATAAATGTGAGACAGGAGAATTCCTGAATCCCAGACTCACACGTTTTAGGGTGCCCGATTCCAGTGTAGGAGAACGTTACAGACACAGCGCACGGTCTCTCACCGATTCCTCCGCCTCAGATGGGGCACGTCTTCACATTAAAAAGCCCATGGTTAGTGGTGCTTAACCTGGGCTGCGCGATGGGTCACCTGGGGGACTTTTTACAATTCATGGAAGAAGGCCCAGCTCTAGGCCTGTGGAGAGAGAACCTCCCAGACTGAGGTTAGGCTGAGGACGTTTTGGAAAAGCCCACTAGAGGATTGATGAATGGAAGCCCTGGGTTCAAGACAGAAGTCCACGGGGAAAAGCCACCTTGCAGCGAGGTCGCCTGGTCGGTCCCTCCAGCCAGCAGTGCTGGCGCTCTGCCCCCCTGGGCGGCTTCAGGGCGCGGTATGTGGGGCCCTCACGCGGTGTGACCTTCAACAGAGCAGTGTCCCCAGGCGACGGCCAGAGGAGCAGGGGTTCGCTGCTCCTGTTAGGTAATCGGGCCTGGTTTCTCTTCTTCCTTCTTTTGTCTGCCCTTGAGGATTTTGTTATTCTTTAACACCTCAAAGGAGGAAAAAACAATACATTTAAATCAATTGAGGTTTTTTTTGGCCTCAGTTCTTTTTATAAAAAAGTGGAGATAGAGGGTAAAGGTCATCTGTGATTAAAAATAAATGTAAAACAGGGATAATCATTGTTGTTTGCAGCGACCATAGGTAACCGAGCTCAGAGGTCAAATCTGTAAACTCCTTTCTTCTGAGATCTCAGTACTTTGTTACTCTTTTCGTTTTTTTACCACCATCCTAGGGACGGGTGTGGGCCTTTCCCCCGTTCTCCTCTCCCTTCACTAGGGACCTCGGAGGAAGTGGGGACCGTCCTGGGCCTTCACAGCCATGGATACCGTGTTCACACGGGCAGGGCCGAGGGTGTAAGTGGAGGGAGGTGGGTAGAATGGACGCTGAGATCCAGAGAGTCAGCCTGTCACGCAGGCTCAGGCAGTCCTGGGACACAGGACGGCTTGGTAGGTGGCAGGGCGGGTGATCATTTCACACGTTGCTGGACTCCAGTTTAATGAGATGTGCTCCAAAAGCCTCAAGTCTCGCAAGTTGTGGGCACAGGTGTGGGCACTTAGCCGAGGAACCTTTTCTCACACTGTGAGGCTGCACCCCTGTCTTCAGCCGTGAAGCTGAGACGTCTGATTTGAAGAGTACATTTGTAAACGGAAATAATAAATGTCATTCCCTTGCTAATGCTGATTTTTTTGTTTGTCTCTTGTTTCTCCAGCATGAACGACTTTCTAGGTAAGACCTTGCCTGCCTCACACTCGTGAGTAGATGCATGTGTGGTTGCACGTGGTTTTGCCTAGTGTAACAGCCTCTCTCCATCCTCCCGTCTCGTTTCCACAGCCCCACAGTCGCAAGCGGCTCCCTTCGGCCCCCGCACGGGCCCCTCTGTCCAGTCACGCTGCATCCCACCTCCATGTTGGTGTCCCGAGCACCGTGCCCGCTCCCCCCAGCCAGGGCTAGGGAGACATTAGTGTCCTCACCTTCGTGTAGCGTACAGATGACTGGATGGGCCGTCTCAGGGGCGGGATAGAAGTACAGAAGGGCACTCAGGGCAGAGGAGAGGCCAGCCTGACTGGCTGGTTCAGGGAACCTGACACTGTTCCCTGTACCCACATGGGGCCCAGGAATAGTTTATCCAGTGAACCAAAGACCTGTTTTGCAATTGCTGAAAAGTTAAGCATATCAGAGTTTGGGGAATGATCCTCTGTAATTTTTCACCTAGTACCTAAGGGTACAAAATTGATCTTCCTGAAGAATAAAATAAAATAATAGAGACTGGGACTTCCGTGGTGGCGCAGTGGTTAAGAATCTGCCTGCCAATGCAGGGGACACAGGTTCAAGCTCTGGTCTGGGAAGATCCCACATGCTGTGGAGCAGCTAAGCCCGTGCGCCACAACTACTGAGCCTGCGCTCTAGAGCCTGTGAGCCACAACTACTGAGCCTGCGCGCCTAGAGCCCGTGTTCCACAACAAGAGAAGCCACTGCAATGAGAAGCCTATGCGCCGCAGGGAAGAGCAGCCTCTGCTCGCTGCAACTAGAGGAAAGCTCGCGTTATTTTATTATTATAAAATAATAGACAATGTGGAGCCAGAGTTGGAATCTCCCATTTTCCACTGTTCCTCTGATGACGAAATTAAGAGGAGATTGGGAAGATGTAGTTACAGGATACCACAGGGCAAATGAGTTTCATAATTTGTTTAATAATTGAGCTGGTTCTACCTTATTAATATATTTTAAAATTTACAAACTTGCGTGTATTCTTCCTTTGCTTGCCCTCTCACCAAGCACCAGCTTAGGATAAATATAATTTCCAACTAACCCAGCAGAAAATTCGCTTTGCAAAATTGGTGGAGAGTGGCGTTTTGCTACAGTTAATTTCTTGTGAACTCTGTTACATTATAATGGCCATTTGTGAAAGTAAATTTCCCTGTAGACTTCAAAATATGCTATAAAACTGTAGCAGTTTAAACAGTGAGATTCTAGAACACAGTCGACAGCCCCCAAAAGTCATGTATGACTTTCCAACTCAGTGGGGAAAGAATCATTCTAATTACATAAAATTTAAAATCTCTGCTATTAAAAGAGACCAAAAGGAAGGTGGGGAAAAACATTTTTTGCAACCTATGTTAGATAGTTTTAAAAGCCCCAGTATATGTAGGATGCTCCTGCAATATAATGAGGCAAAGATTAACAAAGGCTGTGAATAGGCCCTTCAAAAACTAAGATAAATAATCAAAGATATTGAACCTCCATAATGATTTTAAAGCATTAAAATTAACAACAATAAGATATTTCTCCTATTGGATTGAAAAGTTTTAAACCTCTCTAGAGGGCAGTATGGTAACATATATATCTGCATTTAAAATATTATTTATCTCTTGACCAAACAGTTCCACTGCTAAGGTTTTATCCTAAGAAAATAACAAATACACTAAGATTTACAGACAAGTCTTATTGTAGCATTATTTACAGTAGCTAAAAAATTTAAAACAACATGTGTCTATCAATAGAGGATTAAACTGTCACACAGCCGTACAGTGGAAGGCTACGCAGTCATTTTTTTTTTTTGAGGCAAATGTGTTTTTACTTACATGGTGAGATGCCTGCAGTCGTGAGTGCATAGGTGTAGGGGAGAGACCACAGAAGGTATTCTCTGGTTTTATTTACAGAAATATTTATTTTGACATCCCTGTTTAACATCCTGCAAGGATATGAACTGAACTGTTGGTAGAGATTGTTCCTTGGGCAGGACCGTGGGGTGACTTTCACTTTCTATTTTAGACACTTCAGTTCCAATGCTCAAACTGTTCAACATGCATGTATTGCTTTTGCAATCAGGAAAGTCAATAAAGAGATTTCTATTTACAAAAGATTTTTTAACTATAAGAAGGAAAAGGATACAGTAGAAAATGTTGTAGGACTGAGCACCTCTGAGGAGAAGGCAGCCCTTGGTGTCAGCAGCTCTGCCCCCACCCCTGCTCGGCCTCTTCTGGCACCTAGTCCACCCCCCACCCCCACCCCCGCGTGGCCCCTGCAGGACAGGAACGCGGGCCGAAGCTCCACAGCTGGGACTCTTCACACCGCCCCGGTTCAGGGGTAGAGCCCTGGAGGGCTGGTTTGCACGTGGCCCTTCCATGGGCCACCTTTTAGCTTGGAAAGACCAAAATAGGAACCAGTGTGAAGGATCAGGGTGCGAGTCATCCGTCCACTTAAGCAGGAGGTCAGCTGAGAGGCCCATCCACTCATGGACCAGTCAGTACTGGGACGAAGCCACCGTCCGCCCCAAAAGTGCAGTTGCTACGAGACATGAAGTCCTGTCACAGGTGTGGCGTCCAGAGGAGAGGGTGCAACGCGAGCTGTCCCGGCACCGGGTGGCGCCCCCGACACCTCTGGGGGTCCAGCCGGCCTGCTGAGCCCAGGTTGCCACCCTCACCCACCCCCGCTTGCAGCTCCAGGCCCATGTGTTTCTGGCTCATTGGCACTTCATTGGAATCATTTTCTAAGAGCCACTGAGATCCCAGAAACTTCTGCGTTTAAAAGCATGCTCTTGAGGGAAGCTGTTTGGCCCTAAGCTAATTTGAGAAGCTCTGCGCTTGCCGTCGGCACAGAGCCACGCCACCGACCTCCCGAGTCAGCTCCATCCTGGGTGGGTGCTGGCCTCCTCCCCCGAGCAGTGCCCTCGGCAGGCGGGGTGGCCCGGGCCTGTTCTGGCCAGAGCGCTCAAGCGCATCTTAGGAAAGGCGCCCACTGCCCTTAAGCATCACCTCCCTCCACCTTTTCGTTCTCGGAAGCCACTTGTACCTTTACTGTGTCTCCCACAGGTTGGAATTGGGAGGCAGTGACGCCAGCAGCGAGCGGGCCTCAGCCAGAGCCCGCCGGGAGGCCCGCGAGGCCCGCCTGGCCACCCTGAGCAGCCGCGCGGGGGAAGACAGCAGCAGGGACTACAGAAAGGTGGGGGCTCCCGGGTCCCCGCGCAGGGGTCCCCTCCACTCAACCCTCCTGCCTCTTCCTTGCTGAGAGGCGGGAGGGAAGGTGCTCCAGCGACAGATGCTAACGGCCAGCACGTTTACCCCCCTCTCAAGCAGCTGAATGAAGACTCCTTCACGTATTGCTCTCAGTGCAGTAAAAATGGACCTAAATCAGATATTTAGAGGTGTAGGAAAAAGTAAGGGTTAAGAATGGTGGAAAGGGAAATAAGAGTAATGCTGGTTGCCTGGGCCCGGAGGATCACTTGATGGACTCTGATATTTTTAACAAACACGTGCTTTTAATGAGGTCCTGTGAACGTCAACCAGATACTTCTCGGCAACGGTAAATAGTAACAGTCTGGTTTGGGGGGTTTCCATCATTTTATGGTGCGTTGCCTTTGGTTCTTGAGGGAGAGAACCCAGCTCCAGGGGCGGCTCAAAAACCTGCCCTTTCAAGTGCTTGAGATGCCAGGAAAAAACTTTTTTGTTAAGAAAATGTTTTGTTGAACAGAACTTGGCTAAGATGGATACACAGGAGGGCGGCTCCAAAAGGAAGCCTCTTTTGTGTGGGAGCCACGTCTTTAAGCCATGCAAATGCCCTCCCTGCTGGAGGTGGTGGACGGCCTTCCCTACCCCACCCCACCTCCTGGGCAATAACACTGTTGACAGTGGAGCATCATTTGTGTTCAGCACCTAGGACCTCAGGGTTCCAGCAGCAGGAGAGCCAGAGCCCTTGGCTGAATATTCTCTGTCCCTGGGCACTTCTGTCTTCCTGCTCCGCCCACAGGGTGGGGACCTGACTCCCTCTTCTCCCTCCCCCAGCTCTACGAGAGCGCCCTGACCGAAAACCAGAAACTGAAGACAAAACTTCAGGAGGCCCAGCTCGAGCTGGCAGATGTGAAATCCAAGCTTGAGAAGATGGCCCAGGTGAGGAGGGGGAGAGGGGAGGGGGCGAGGTAGTCAGGTCAGCCCTCCCCCTCCCAGAGATTTGGTTTGGGGTTCACACTGCGTTGAACTTAAAATTGGAAACTGATGGTCCAGTGGACCATTCCTGGCCCCCGAGTGCTAGTAATTACTCTTACGGGTCATCTGCTCATTTCTTAGCGGAGAGCGTGGGCCAGCGTCAGGGCTTGGTCGTGGGCAGTGTGTGCCTCCTGCCTTGTCAGTCGTGGTTTGGTCACAGCAAACCCAGGACGAAGGTGTCATTGGGACGTTGGGTTCTGTCCTGCAGCACCTGTGCCGGAACAAGGAACCAGATAAAGCTCTTCCTCTCGCCGCCAGGCCTGGTTTAATTAGTGACACATAGCGGGCGGTGCACTCATCGCCAGGGAGATAGACCCTCACTGAAGGCTGGCGCGAGCCCTGCCTAGGGTTATTGCTGGGTCAGCAGGAAGCTGCCTGGAGGCCTGGGGATGAGAATTTGGACTGTTACCGGGAAGCTCAGATGAAGACCAGAGCTGGCGGTCGGTTCCGCCCCAGGGTGGGATCCAAAAGCAGAGACGAAAACGCTGGGATCGACGGCAGTGAGCATGTGGGGCTCGGGCCAGTGCCTTCCCAACACCCCCAGGCAGGCAGGGATGCTGGCGCCCGAGGGGCTGCGCTTTCCTGAAGGGCTCGGACAGCGCAGAGTGGGCCTGTCCTGGGAGCTGCCCGTCTGTCATTGTCATCGTGGAAGGGCCCCGCCTGGTTGTGGCGGCCGGGGCCAACTTGGTCCTGAACCAGCACGGGCTGGTCCTGCCAGGAGCCACGGCCCTCCCGCCCCGCTCCCTCCTCTGCAGAAGCCCCAACAGTGCATCCTTTGAGCTTTGGGGTCTCGGCTTTGGAGTCGTGAGCCGGGGACACAGATTGCACAGAGGGCACTGAAAATAACCTCAGCCTTTTAGTCGCTGGGGAAGAGCATTGACTTTCTAGCCACCTGCTTTGCTGGGTGTGTTGGAATATACTGAGTTTTGCCAAATACAAGTTACTAGAATTCAGAAGAAACGGTGGTGCTACAAACCAAGCCTCTGCTCTATACCAAAATTGGACCGTTCGGCAGGACAGTGGAGGGGAGGCCTGTCGACCCCACACATCCGTGTGGAAACAGTTACCACGTGCACACACGGCGTGTTCCCATGAAAGGTCCACCCGAACTCGGAGGGGTTAGGGTTAAAACAGGGCAAAACAAAATTAGTTCTTTGTCGAAGAGAACTAGTTAAGTTCTCTTTGTGTAGGTGAACCAAGTAGTGAAATCGGCACAGCTTCTACGCTGCTCAGGCTTAGGGAAGAGAGGCTTGTGGTGCAGACAAGCCGCGGCTGTGACCTTCAGAGCAGATGGTGAGAGCCCAGGACAGGAGCCAGAAATCCCAATTTACTGCCAGTTCCAGCTAGTCCTTAATTTTTTGAAAAAGAAACCTCCTCAGTAAGACCAGCTGTACTTATTAAATGTTTACGTGTACTTATTAAATGTTTCCGTGCCTGGTACTAGGCATAAAAGCAGTCACTCTGTCGTCATTAACTATCTATTGGTTGTAAGAAATTCTGCCCAGAAGGGACTCAGGGGTCATTTCCCCGCCCTTTTTAAGAGTCGTCCCCTGAAGCTGCTCTCTGCTCTGTAGCTGTGGCGGCTAAATGTTTTTAGCTCCTCTGCAAAATTTATATTAAAAGTAGAAGATGATCCAGAATAAAACTCTAATCTTATCTGGAAGCCCAGTGTATAAAACAGTAAAAGTTCTGTTCAAAGCAGGGCAGGTCCCATGAATGGACCCCTGAGAGGCTCTGGCAGCCCGTCCTCCCTGAAAATCACAGCCTCGGTCCCCAAAACAGAAGGAGCAGAGCGGGAAGGGGTCACTCAGAAGAGTGCCTGGCGCTCAGGCTTTTACAGGAGGAAAGGCACTTTCATTTCCTCTGGGCCTGAGATTCCAGAAAGAGGTGAGGGAGGGGCGGTGAGGGGGGAGAAGATGGTTGGCCTTGAAGTGTGTGTGGGGGTGGGGGTGGGGTGGGGGGGTGTATCTGTGTGTGGGGGTGTGTTTATATGTGTGTATGTATGTGTGTGTATTGTGTGGTCTGTGTGTATGTGGTGTATGTGTGTATGTATTGTGAGGGGTGTGTATGGGTGTGGGTGTATATGTAGTGTGTCTGTGGTGTCTGTGGTGAATGTATATGTGTATAAATATGTGTGGTGTGTATATATGTAGTGTGTCTGTGTGGGGTGTGTGTGTGTTTGTATGTGTTGTGTGTATATGTGGGGTGTGTGTTGTGTGTGGTGTGTGTGTGTGTATATGTTGTGTATGTATTGTGTGTGTAGTATCTGTGTTGTGTGTATGTATTGTGTGTGTTGTGTTGTGTGTGTATTGTGTGTGTTGTGTGTGTGGTGTGTATATGTATCGTGTGTGTTGTGTGTATATATGTTGTGTGTGAAGGGTATGTGTGTGTGATGTGTGTATGTGTATTGTGTTGTGTGTATATATATTACGTGTGTGTGGTGTGTGTGGTGTGTATATGTATTGTGTGTGTGGTGTGTATGTTTTGTGTGTGTATATGTTGTGTGTGAAGGGTGCGTGTGTGGTGTGTGTATATGTATTGTGTGTATGTGTTGTGTGTGTATGTGTGGTGTGTGGTGTGTATATGTATTGTGTGTGTATGTGTTGTGTGTATATATATTATGTGTGTGTGGTGTGTATGTGTGTGTGTGTGTATATGTATTGTGTGGTGTGTGTGTGTGTGTGTGTGTGTGTGTGTGTGTGGTAACGCCTCTGCACTTGTGACCGTGTCACACTCCTGGGAGCACTGCTGCTGCCTCCACTCCCGGTGCGGATTCTGTGAACTCGGAAGGGCGGCGACTTCGTCTCTGTGACATCAGGACCCGTGGGTTGGGCCACATGTCGGGGTGTCCGGTGGGGCTGGACTAGACGGGCCCTCTGGCCCTGAGACGCTCCAGTAACAATGTGTTCCTTCCGTTTGCACCAGCAGAAACAAGACAAGACCGCCGACCGGTCGTCAGTGCTGGAGATGGAGAAGCGGGTGCGTGTGGGGGGGGGGAGGACACCGTCTGAAGGAGGCGGGCACCTGCACATCCCACCCCAGGGGGCGCCTCTCCTCTCTGCCTGACTCTGGAGAGCAGTTTGGTTGCTGGTGCTTCGGCCTCCTGAGAGCTCGGGGCGGGAGGGTCCTCAGGGGGCCGTCCACGTCGCCCTGGGAAAGCGGAACTGCGCAGGCTCGCCTGCCACGGCGTGTGGTCCAGGCCTCTGGACCCTTCCCGTCCCTTTGAACAGAGGGGGAGCTTCAGCAGGACCCTCTGCCCCAGGTCGAGGTCTCAGGACTCCAGCCCTAAGAAGAGCAGACATCCTGCTGGCCCTGACCGAGGTGGGGCAGCTCCGGGCCAACTGCTGACCCCCGCTGACCACTCTCAGAGTGTCTTTCTGGGGGTTGACATTCTCGGGTTGGGAAAACTCAGATTTATCGATGAACCCTAGCTTTGACTTGACCCTGAGCGTGTAATGGGTTCCCATCTCCCCCGGTTGTGTTTAATTTGGAAAGCAGCTAAGTTTTATTCCCATGGCTTTGGGGTCCGGATAAGTCGGGGGTGGGGTGGGGGGCAGGGTTTTGACTCCTTTCCAAATCTGTCAGCTGTTCAGCAGTTTGGTTGTGTTGAACAGGAGAGGCGAGCCTTGGAGCGGAAGATGTCGGAGATGGAGGAGGAGATGAAGGTATGGAGAGGCGCGTTTGCCGTGTGCCTGCACCCAGGCCTGCGGGCGGGTCAGGGCAGCCCGTGAGGGGTGCGGGCATGGTGAGGACGAGGCGAGCCTGTGCGCAGCCCCTACCCTGGCTCTCAGCTCGCCCGGCGCCCCTGGGGCCCCTCACAGCCCCTCTGGGGACAGATGTGGCCTTTGGTGTAAGGGGATGTCGTGCATCAGGCTGGAGGCAGACCTGAGCGGAACTCGTAAGGTTTTCTCAGCAGCAGCTTCACCCCGAGGGAGGGACGGGTGAAAGTCCGAAGCCGGGTCCTCAGCTCCTGGCCCCGGGGGAGAGCCTGGGAAGCGGAGCCAGGAAGGCACGCGGGTGGAGCCAGTCCTCCATGGAGGGCAGGCTGGTTCTGCTGTTGGTCTCCTGCCCCGCCCTTGCCCCTGGAATATTCAGCCACATCTCCCTCCCCGGGGACGGTCACCATCGGGCAGCGAGTCCTGGGAGCCGCACTCGCGCTGCCCAGGGGAGGGGGAGAGGGAGTGCATGTGGGAGTGCATGGACCCGGACCTCGGGGCTGCAGCGCGTGGGGCCGGCCACGGTGGCTGGGTGCCGCTTGGCTGCTTTCCTCTCTCGGCGGATCTTCACCCGTGAAACACATGCCTCTGGCTCCTGGAAGTGTGAGCAGAGCCCTCAGGCCAGGAGCCCTCTGGGAGAGACGTTTATTGCTCCCATGGCCTGAGAAGGTTGGTTCTTTACTGAAAAAAGTAGCTCAGGGCTCAACAAGGTCAAATGCCCGGAATCCTGTTGGTCTGCGTGGCTGCTGCACGCGGGAGGAGCAAGCCCTGTGCGCGCTCCACGCTCCCCATCCCGGACGTGCCGGGACGCCCACACGCGGTGTCACGCAGTGCCGCCTACGTCTCAAGAACAGCCAGAAGCAAAAATAGCTGGTGGTTTTGCTTCTCCAGCTGCTGGTTTCTCTAGGCCCACCTCACCTGTCACTCAGAGCACGTTCGCAGGCTGGACAGGTCTGAATGGCAGGTCCACAGCTCACGGTTGTGCAGGGGCTCCTCCATTTTTGAAGCCCTTGTGTTATACTGTCTGTTGGCAGCTAACAGGATGCTCATTGAGAAATGGCCCAAACACTGATCAGGAGCGTGGGTAAGGCCCGAGCTGTTTCCTTGTAGGGTCCTCGAGGGCCCAGGCCGCCTCGTACCCTCCAGCCGGGAGGTGCTTTCTCATCCATTCAGCCCCACACGAGGGCCGAATTGCAAGCCGAGGGGGAGCCGCTGGGTTCCCCCCCACCCCCGTTTCCCTCTCTGAGTACAGAGGCGCCAGGCACCCTTGGGGCCATGGGCTGGGGCAGGTGCGTCTTTCTCTCTGTCTCATCAGCCTCTCGGGCTGAGATTTCATGAACGAGATTATGAGTCCTTTTCTTTCCTCAATGGAGGTCAGGTACATGGAAGCTCGTGCCCCGCTCAGCCCCGGGTCGTGTGCTGGCCCACCTCAAATTCAGGCGGAACCCGGCCATGACCGTCTAGGCCCCATACCAGTAGGTATACTGATTGAAAGCCAATCTTCTTTTAGTTAAAAAATTTCTTCATTGAGTCAGCTGCCCTTGTTCTGCATTGCCAGTCGCAGACCCCTGGGGGAGAAGCTCCTGCCGGCTCAGCCCTGAGCACGTTCGCTCAGCTTGAAGCCCGGCCAGGTGAGCAGACAGTCCCGCTCCACCCAGGGACTGGGGGGGCCGTGCCAGCCGTCCGCCAGCCGACCTTAGGGTGTTTGCGCCTGGACCCTCTTTGGGGACAGAGAGTTCAGATGTACAGACGCAAGCATCGTGAAACTGGTGTGCTGGCCTGCAGGAGGCTCAGGGGATGCTTGGTCAGCTTTCAGGCCCTTCACGCAGACAGCAGTCTGTGGGGACATGCGTGGATGCTCGGTAGCCAGCCGCAGCACAGGTGCTGGTCGCACCCGGGGCCCGGTTGAGCTGAGGGCCAGTGGAGCTGGTCCAGTTTGTACAGATGCTCAGCCCCTCCGGGCGTGGCCCACAGGGAGCAGGGGCTGTGGCCTCCAGTGACCCCTGAGGAGCCGGGCGCTCAGGGACAGAGAGGGACTCGGGCCTGTTCCCCGCCTCTGGGAACCGTAAGGTGGGCTCGCGCGCGGGGAGTGGGGCTCCGTGGTGGCGACACAGGCTGCGCCTTTCTGGTCTTTACTTGGGAAGGTAGGTGTTTATGGACTCTCCCCAGGAGAAGTGCATGCGGGCTGGGCTGGAGCGGGGTCGTGTGCCAGCCTCCGCCGGGTGTGCGGGTCAGCACGCCTGCCTCGGGCGGAGAGCTTTCCCGTGGCGCCTCCTCCCCTTGCCCCAGGCCCGCGCATGGGAGGAGCCTGGCAACCGATCCCCCATGAGATTGCTCTTGGATTTTTCAATGTCCTTGCCCTGGCAGCCTGCCCGGCCACCCTGCTCTGTGCCCTCCCACCGCCTCCCCACCACGCCTTGTTCTCAGCCTCGCTCCCGCGGCAGCTTCCTGCCTTTATGGCCACATTCTTCCCCCTCTGCCTGCCTGTGCACAAGTTCACCGGAATTGTCCTCCTAGTTTAACGTTATTTCCCAGGAGGCAAGGACCACTTCACGTAAGGACCGTGACTGCCTTGAAAGCTTCAGTCCAGTGTCGACCCAAAGAAGGGTGAGAGTCAGGGACTCTCCATTGGTTCTTAAATTTGGTCCCGCGGGCTGCACCGCGACCTTCTGTGTCCTCTCTCGGCCGCTCCAGGCTGCTCAGAACTGTGCGGCTGCCCTCCCTTTTCCCAAGGTGGCGATGCTCCCTCTGTGGGGAAAGAGATGCAGCCGTTTGTCTCTGCTTGTTTTTCCTTTTCACTGTTTTCATCTTCGTGCTGCCTATCATTTTCTTGCTTCTTTCACTCCCAAACAGCTATAACTCCTCCCATCTTTCATTTCTGTCCTTCCTGTCCACGTGGGCAGGAGAGACTTCCTCTGGTGCCCGGTGACCTGTCTGTAGTCACCACAGCCCACAGGATTGTCATCTCTGTCTGTGAAGCCCCGTTCGCATGACAAGACCGCATTCTCTCTCCCAGAGCTGGTGGCCTCAGCTTCAGGGTCAGAGAACTCTTAGGAAGGACTAGTGACAGGAAGTAGGCCTGGATAGGACTCCGTTTATTGCCGGCTTTAGATCCTTCGTGGGACGCAGGGATTGGGAAGCATGGCTTTGGGCGGGTTGTTCTGTTCCATTTGCAACACATGCTAACAGCTGGACTGGCAAGGGTATCGGTCACCGGTCCATTTTCGTTGGACACGATGCCCTCCACCTTTGTGCAGAGCTGTGATTCCACGCAGGAGGCTGTCTGTGGCAGCTTTAAGTAGCTCCCAGCCTCTTTGTGACCCGGGCAGAGACAGTATAGTCTGCCATGGGTTCCCTGGTGCATACCCTCCCGGAGCAGGTGGGGGCAGGTGGGCAGTTCTTGATCCTGGAACAGGCGTCCAGGCAGCAGAGGAGGCCCGGCGATGATACTTCCAGGAAAGGTAGAGGGTCTTCTGTAGGTGCGCCTCCCACAGAAAACAGTTCAACGACAGGCCCTCTCTTCTTTGCCTCGTTCCATTTTTTAAAATGAGAAATAAATGAGGTAATAGAAAGACAGAGAAAACAAGTGAGAGTAGGGGGCCAAGTATGGGGGGCGGAGGAGAGGAGCGGAGAGCAGGGCAGCAGCTGGACTTGGGAGAAGCTCCGGGTGCCCTAGGCTGCCCCCCCCCCCCCCCGCCCACCATTCCTCTGGCCTCTCTCCTTCCCCTTCTTGCATGCGAACTAAAAACTAAAACAAAACGTCAACAGAATGTCAACGTGATTTCTTTGTCCCACTTTTCTCTCCTCTGGTCCGTCTTGTCTTGTCTGCCTGTCTGTCCTCGTGTGTCACTGTCTGCAGAACCTCCACCAGCTAAAACAGATTCAGACCTTGAAGCAGATGCACGAGCAGCTGCAGGCTGAGAACAGGGCCCTGACCCGGGTTGTGGCCAGACTCTCGGAGGCCATCGAGGGCTCGGACCCCCAGGGGCTCTAGGCCTGCCCCCTCCTCCCCTTCTCCACTCCAGGCACGTTCCCTCTTGTTGTTGGTCACGGGCTCTGCGCTCGCCCCCCAGAGCCTGCACGCGGGTTCCTGTGAAGGTCGGTGGTCTGCAGAGGCGGCGTGGGCCGGGGCGACCCAGGGCTGGGGCCTGGCCTGGGCTGCCGTTGGTTTGGTGAGACTCTTCCCCTAGAGACAGAGCGCGGGTCACTCAGCCAGACGGGTCCACGCCTACTTGTGTGTGGACACGCACACGTTTCTGGGGGGAGGTCAGGGTCTCGGTCAACAGCAATCCAAGTGCAACCTGGTCCCTGGAGCAGTCGGGTTGCGCCTGGGGTGACGGTGACCAAGGGTAGGGGCCACACGTTCCAGACACCTGGGGGCTTGAGCACATTTGTGCCAGGCACCCCTCAGAGGCAAAGGCCCGGGTGTCTGTTCAGAGCTCCCCTGCTGGTTCTGTTGTGCAGCTGGGCTGAGAACCGCGGCCCCAGGACCTGACAAGAACGAGCGCTGGGGGGGGGGCACTGACCCAGCCCCGCTCCCCCCACCCCCTGCTGGGTCTTTCCATCCCTCTCCCTTCTTGGCGGGTGTTGCCCTCCTGCTTGTCACAGATCTGGGCCTGGGGATGTGCCCTCCCACGGCCAAACCCCCAGCCCCACTGTCAGCAGGGGGCTTGCCGAGAAGGCGGCAGGGGAGCGGGGGCTCGTCTTCACCGGAGAACCAGGAAATGCATCTTCTGCACTCGACGCCTGTCCCTGGATGTGGGTCTCAGACAGGCTCGCAGATGTGGCTCGTTTTCTCACCGCGGCGGCGTGAGGGGTCCTCACTGCTGAGCGGTCTCTCTCTGATATGAGTTTTTGATTTGTGGCAACAATCTAATTAGTGCTGACCCAGGCCTGTTCTTCTTTGTGCCCGTTTGCTGTGTCTTCGGGGTCAGTAGCTGGCAACTGGTACCCACTAGATCTGAAGCACCCGAATTACTGTCGGGTGGAGCTGATACCCTGCTGGAGACGCTGTGACACAGAAACTTGAGAGGGAGGTGGCCCGCGGCCCCGAGCAGCCTGCCGGCCCTCCTCGTGACAGCACGTCAGGGCCAAGCTTCACGCCAAGAGATGAGCCAGCTTTGACCTGGGGCGGACGGGGGCCCCCGGAAGATGGCCCGGTTTTCTTGGTTTCCTCCTGGTGGGGAGAGCGTGAGATCAGGAGGGCTGGTGGCCCTGGAGGCGGCTGTCGTCTGAGGGCCTGTGCTGAGCCCTGTACTCGCCCTTTCTCATTTATTCCCCATAACAGTCACTTTTCCTATGGGAAAAACCAAGTCACAGAAGAAGTAACTTGCCCGAGGTCACTTGGAGGGTACGGGGCGGGCGGGCCAAGGACGTCAGGCTCTGGGCCGGCCGCGCACCCACCGCCTGGCAGCCCTGGCGTGGGGCGAGGGGGCAGCCTGCGGCCCCTCAGTGCCGACTGCCCAGCACGGCCACGCAGAGAGGCCCGCCCAGGTCACGGAGAAACCCACAGAAGACGCGTGGGGATTCCGTGGGGTCAGGTTCCAGCATCCACAAGCGCCGTCTTCCCGGAGCCGGGCCGTTGTGTGCGCGTCGCCGTGTCTGTGGGCCCTTGAGAGGTGGGCGTTGCTCAGAGACCACGCGGCTTTGGACCTGGGCCTTCGCCACCCAGCCCTTTCCAGGAGGAGCCTGCCGGCCTGCCTCCGGTTTGGGGGTCTCCCGGGGCCGCTGCAGCGTCGGGACCCCACGCCCGCACGCTCCTCACCTAAGGTTGGAAGAGGCGACGTTGGAGAAGAGGTGCTTCGTTCTATTTGTCCTTCACGTCAAACTGAGGCAAACCGGGCACTTAGAAGCGGGGAAGCTGTGCAAGCTCGTCGTGCGCGGCGCTTCCACGGGTGTCCGTGCGTAACCGTCCCGTGCTTCACGTGCGGCTCCAAGAACCCCCTCCGCTTCTTCCTCTCCCTCCTGAGCCCGCCTTCCTCACGCTTCCTCCGCGCCCCTCTCTTCCTTCCTGGCGCTCCCTGGAGCTGGCCGCGGGAGCTCGGGCAGCTGGGAAAGTGCCTTGGCCAAGTTTTTCCCAAAGAGTTGAGTCTCAACGTGGACATAAATCTCCAAGGCTCGAGGGTGCGTTTGTACATGCTTTTAAAGGGGAGCGGTTCAGATCCAACCTGACGAGCTGCCAGCGGTGACACACGGCCTGTCCCCATGTAGAGCTTCTTCCCACCCGGGGCTCCCATCGTGGGAACACGGCCTGAGAGTCTCGCTGGCGCCCAGGCTGCCGGCCCCGGGGTGCCCTGGGAGGGCACGTGGCAGGGGAAGAGGAGGGAGGCCACGCCCGTGGGCTGCTGCGAGCCTCTTGGCTTGAGTGTCTGGGCAGTTGAGGCCAAGGGGTGGAGGCAGAAGAGGGAGGCCGGCCAGGCTCCGACGGTGTCAGGTCAGAGGTCAGAGGACAGGCCTGCTCTGGTATTTCCTGGATCAACGCCCTCTAACACTGCATGCGGTCACAGCTGTGGCCCCCACGGAGCCCCTGCTTTGTGAGGGACGAGGGCGGGGATGGGCTTCTTTAGATACAAAATGGAAAGCCAGAGAGGAGAGCGGTGTGCCTCAAGCGGCACAGCTCACGGATGACGGTCGCGGCTTCCGGGCCCGCGACCGCGTCTGCGGGGAAGGGGTGAGCTCTGGAGTCAGTGTGTGCTTTCCCGTGAGGAGCTGTGCCGTGCTGCGCTAGCGATGCTGGACTTGGGCCCTCGTTTGTGGACCTGAGGATGGCTGCGTCACAGACCCTGAGGCCGTCCTGGTGCTCCGCTGTTCTGTCCCCTCCATACCAGTGCCTCGTGTGTCTGTGGCCTGTGCACACGAGGTTAGGTCTCCCTCTGCAACTTCACCTGCATCTTCCGTGAGAGGCTGAGGGAACGGTTCCATTCTTCACGGGGATCTGACTGACCCCTGGGTGCTAACAGCAGAGCCAGAACTGGAATTAGCCCTGGGAACATGGAGGGGCCTGTAGGTTTGAATGACCGACCAGAGGACACTCGCCCCAGACAGATGTGGGCGTGGATTTTTGTCGCCTTCACAGTGAAGAAGCGCTTTCCCTCTGACCTGACTCTCTCTTGCCGCCGGCAAGGCTCGCACACCAGCCGTGCCCTCGTCGGGACCCATCGGGGCTGTCAGACACGCCACACTTCCCCAGCCTGGGCGCGGGGCCGCTGCTCCCTCACTTCACGAGTTGCGTGACACAGTGTGATGGTCCGGGGAGGCCGGGCTGGGAGAACAGACGTCTCCACCCCCATCTCCCACAGCAGAGCCCCAGCCCCCTTAGGGCATGCTCGGGCTCCTGGGTGTTGGGGGTTGACTGTGGACACATGTGCTACGGCCAGCGGGGACCTCAGCGGGTTCTGGCACACGGCACCAGAAGCAAGACCCTAAGTCGTCTTGGGGGTGTGACGGGAAAGCCGAGCTGTGCCCTCCACCACGCGTTCCCGCCTTCCTTCCCTTCACCCCATCACCTCTTCTGACCCTTCCCTGTGTCCCCAGCACACATGGCGCTCCCCTGGTTTCTCTGAACCAGAGGCGAGTTCCGGGGAGGAAACCTGGAATAGTTACTGGTTCAGGAGAAGGAGAGGGTGGCGCGCGGGGAAGGGGCTGTTCCTGCCGTGTGCGCGGAGGGGCTGTGGCCCCGCGCGGTACCGTCACCAGCCCGTGAGCAGGAAGAAGGGCACTTGGTCCCCGTCACCAGCCGGACTGACTCGCCTTTCCCTTCCGCCCGCAGGTCCTGACAGAACTGAAATCCGACAACCAGAGGCTGAAGGATGAGAACGGCGCCCTCATCAGGGTCATCAGCAAGCTGTCCAAGTAGGCCAGGCGCTGGCTTCCCGGGACGGCGCTGGCCCCGCCTCTCCCCCGCCGGCGCCCACCGGCCAAGAGGAGCCACGAGGACCTTTCTCTGGCCGTCATCCAGTTGCCGCCTCTGCACCCTCTGTGTCCCCTCCTCCGGCCCCCGCCGCTGGGGTTCAGACAGTTTCCATCGAAGCACGACTGCGATCCCTCAACCGATAGAGCCATCTGGTGGAGGCCTGGGGGTCGCCAGGCCAGCCGTGGACCCGGCCTCCGGTTGCCGGGCCACCGGTCCACGTAGCACTTGGTCCAGGCCCCAGCCCTGCTGCCACCGCCATGCGCTCTGATGTGGGACACACATGGGGAGGCCTCTGGAGCTGCCGCCACTAGATCCAAGTTGACAGTGACTCCACGTCGGGGCCTCTGCTTGTCCTTGCCTCTCAGGAACTGACTTTTCCCTAACTCCCGCTGGTGGTGGTGGAATTTTTTCTACCAGCAACCTAGTGGCACCTGACTGGTCTTAACGCCCGTTCCCTCCGTGTCTGGCCCTCTCCCCAGGGCTCAGGTGACCGGGCTTGCCTCTTCTCTTTCTGTCCTTTTACTTTCCTTCCTCCGTCCGCCCCGCGGCGCGTACCCCGGGAGGTGGGCGCTGGGACAGAGCACCGACCCCAGCGGTGTGCCCGGGCAGTGGTACCGCTGGCCTCTCCCCGGCCAGGCCGGGCTCAGCTCCCCACCGTCCTCCCCACGCAGCATTTCTCTGCTAGAACACCCGCCTGCCCCACCTCCCTTTGACCTGGTCTCCTCTCCTGAAGAGAAGTGACGCCGCTGTGAGGAGGCGTGGGGGCGTCTGAGGCCCCCCCCTCATGCCTTGTGCTGTGAGCGTGGTGGGCTTGATGGCATCTGGGGCGTGTCCAGGGGAGAGACGATTATTTGCTCGGAAGCCAGCGGGAGGAACGAGTCTGGACTCGGAGTGGCGAGACCCGGTGGCCAAGGCTGTGTCCCAGGGACCCCACCCTGCTGTCAGGGAGCCTCTGGCGGCTGCGCCTTGATCGCTCGAAAGCTGGGCGGCTTGGATGAGAGTTGAGGTCTTCCTGAGGGTCCCCCTGTAACGTGACAGCCCTGCCATACCTGCGGCTGGGGACCCCCAAGGTGCTGACGCTCCCCTGGGCCTGGAAGTCGGTCCCCACGCGCTCTGCTTTTCCCACCTGCCCTGTCTTGGCTATCCTTCTCTGGACGAAAACCTGGACAGGTGGCTCCCTTGGTTCAGCACAGAATTAGGTCATGAGTTCTTGATGATGCCCCAGTATTAACACTTAAGTGTTTGCTTTTTGTAGGCGCTTTATCCCTCGGCTGGTTTGAGTGTGCAGGTCGTTTTGGGGTTGCCGGAGACATTTAGTGTGTAGCGGTCCGTTCTCAACATACGCTACCTCTGTCTAGTTTCTCTTTCTTTCCAGCCCCTTCCATGGCCCTCAGAAACGTCACATGCTCTTTAACCCAGAGCCATGATCAAGGTCCCAGTTCGGGATAGGAATTTGTCTCCTGGGGCAAAACGCCTTTCTCAGAGTGTGCAAAATCTTCCATGTCCGGCCATTTCCTGCGAGGAGCAACGCCTGGGCACGGGTGATTTGTGTCGTCGGGGCCGGGGGGGTTGCGTGGGGGGGATGCTGAGAGCGAAGTTTCATATCTTCCACTGTAGCGTTTCCTTTGTTCTGGGGGAGGGGAGCGGGCACGAGGCCTTGGCCTTGACCCTGACTCTCCGGCACACCCTGGGTGCTGGGCCAGGACTGGAAAAGGAAACTGAATTATTAGGACGTCACCTGGACTCTCTTGCATCAGGCAGACCAGGCAGAGGGGCCACAGCATGCCCTCCGCTCCGTCTGTGCCTTTCGGGGGCGCGGGCGGCTCTCGGAACCCGGTCGGGCTGTGTCCCGCGCCTCCCTCCAGCCCTTCTGTGTCAGGCCTCTCCACTCAGGAAGCCAGGCTCTGTGGCTAGAGCCCGTGGTGTGGACCAGCCCGTGATCTCAGGCGCTCTCTCTCTTATGCAACTAAGTCTGTGAGACAGACTCTGAATCTGGTCTCTTTCCAGGCTGTGCTGGTCCGCGAGGTGATGGTCAGGGGCCCCCTCGCTACCTCTGGGGTTGCGCCCTGTCACCGCGGTGCCTGGATGGGTGGTCAGCGCTGGGGGGAGGGCCTCGTCGGCCTTGGCCAGCGGTTTTCTGGACAGGTCGCACCTCTGGGAGTGACAACCAGCCTCTGAGAGTCTGAGTCTCTGGCTGAAGCCTCACTGCTTCTCCCCCTCGTGCCTGAGGCCCCAGGTTGGGCCTTGGAAGGGTCTGAAGGAAGGATGAGCCCTGGCCTGTCTCCTCGGCCCACTTGCAGGGCGTCAGCTCCTCTGCTTCCCTGCCCTGAGCAAATCGTGTGCATGTTAGCGCCACCCGGGGCAAACGGCAGCTGGAATCCCACTTCCAAGCCCGTGGACCCCACCAAGGTGTGTGTGAACTACCAGCGTGGAGGGGAGCAGCTCATCTCCGTCTCCAGGTTTCTGGCCCTGGAGCAGGCCTCTCCCACCCAGACGGACACAGACAGAGGGGCTTCCCAGCTTCCAGGCCACCGTGTGGCTCCGAAGGGAAAACCTCGGGGACTCAGCAGCTGGGCCGGTAGGGAGTGGGCCCCTGGTTCCATCCACTGGGTGAGCGCTGGCGTCCTGGCCTCCAGCACCACCCCTGACTCTGGACATGGCGGCCAGCGGTCATAGGTGGTCCTGCCCCTGTCGGGGCCCAGTTACAAGTACAGAGCGTGGTCCCCATTACTGGGTTTGAAGGCAGGTTTCAGCACCTCGGAGGGTGTGTCTCCTGACCTTGTAGGAAGGCAGCTGTGGCGGCAGAACGAGGCCGCTGAAAGGACCGGGCATCGGGGCCCGGGGCCAGCGCCTGTCCTGACCAGCCGTGCGGCCGTCTGTGAAAGGGGGCTGGGTCGGTGGTCCTCAGGACCCCTTCTTGGCTTGAGAGTCTGTGATTTGTTGATTCCTAGGGAGACCAGAACATTTCTCACTCAGAGTTTTTGCTCTAACTTCAAAAATTCTTCTCATTCAGATGGTTTAAGAGTGTGTCAAGGTGGGAAAGTGAATTCAGTCTGGAGGGTAGTGGCCGTCCCTCCTGATGGCCTGGTGAGAATGTGCAAACCCGCGGGGGTGGAAACACGGCCTCTGGATGAGTGGTTCTCACGGGAGGGGCCCGGCTCCTGGCGTCCAGACAGCAGACCCGCTGTGTTTCTCCCCACCGGCCACTCAGTCTCAGCTCTGCCTTAAGCACCAGAGGGCCTTCCTCGAGGAAACCCCAGCCTTTAGTTTTGTGGGGCCATCAGATCTGGACCTGGGCTGTCGCAAGCCGAGGTCCCTCCCCTGAGCAGGGCTGCAGGGAGTTTACACCAAAGGCTGCAGGACCGAGCAGCCCCCGGGGAGGAGGGGGAGGGCCAGGGTCTGGGGCCAGCATCCCTCAGCCTCCAAACAAGCCGAAGCTTTGTTCGGCCCCCCGGATGGGTATGTAGACTGTGTCAAGGATGGCCATTGATCGCTTGTGCTCTGATTAGATTGGGCAGTAGATCAGCTTCACTGCGGCCCCGGGAACCGTCATTGTCACAGCTGCTTGGGAGTGAGGTGGGCTCGGGAGAATCTGGACCGGCTGGTGGCCGCGTAGCAGGCGATGCAGCCCCTCCTGTGAGGGTCGTGGTCGGACGTCAGGTTGAGGAGGGGTCCTGGGAGCCCCTCCTTGGGAAGTACATCTAGAGACAGACACGGCTGAGGGTTGGCCTGATGCTGCCTTAGGAGGTTTCGAGCTTTGGGGATCACTCTTGCTTCTAAGCCTGTGTGCACACGCGTGTTTGCTACATGGAGATTTCAAAATGCAATCTCATCACCCAGTTTCATCCAAGTGTGTTACTCTGTTAACTCATATCTTTTGCTTCCCCCCTCCATTCCCCAGAGGGCTTCTCTCTGAGCTTCTTCTCCAATTAATCTGTTTATCATTTCAGACTGGGAATCTGCCAGAGTGACCTTTTCTGTTACTTCTCCAGATTTTCCCCTAATGCTCCCAGTAAACTTTTCCTGGGTGGCCCTTTAAGGTGACCTCACGATGCTCCTGTCTTTGCAAAATAAACACACCTTTCACCCTCCCGCCTACTCTCATCTTCCTCCCCATTAATTTTTTGCTTTTCTCACTTGGAGCTGGTGGTGCTTTAGAGGAGAGATTGTCCACGAATCAGCCCCGACTCCTCTGGTTGCAAAGCTGACTGGCTGTGCCACTTCCCCCTCGAAGGCGAGGTTTGGCCCTAGCCTGGGCGGGGCCCATGGGCAGCCTGGCCTCGTCTGCACAGCTAGAGACTGAGTGAGTCCTCAGGAGGGCACGGGGCAGTGTCGGTGCGTCTGGAACAGTGGCTCATCTGCTGTTGCCTTGCAGGAGCGGGTTCAGGAAAGGCAGGGGCCCGGGGGCCTCGTTGAAGCCTCGATGGTCTCACAGAAGCAGGAGTCGGGGTGGGGGCAGGTCCTGGACGTGGGGTGCTAGGCTGGCCTCTGAGCCTGACCTGCGTCTTCTCTCCATACCGTGCTCTTCTGGGGAGGGGGCTCGGAGGGAAATACGAGGGGCTCAAGCCAAGACAGCAGGAGGTGGGCCGCAGGGGTGGGGGTTCCCTTGCACCCCTGAAAGGCTGGGGCTGCTGTCAGGCTGGCCCCCGGGTGGGGGAGGGCGAGACTGTCCCCATGTCCCGCCATGGGGGACTCTGACTCAGGCTGCAGCGCCGTGGTCCCCCCCTCGTCCCCCTCCGTTCCCTCTGCCTCTGTCTTGATCGGTGGAAAGAGCTGTGAGACCCTCCCTGGGGTCTCCACACCCCCATTCCAGGGGTAGCATTTTGTCTTTGTTCACCTTACCCCCACCTGACTTCCCCTCCAAGAAAGCACCAGAGGGACCGTTTTAAGTCGGCTCCGTTGTAAATACACGTGGTGGGGATAGGGGTTTAGGGAGGGACCCAGATGCGCTTTGTGAGTTGAATGTATTTTTATGCAATTCTGAGTGGCCTTTCAACTCTGAGATGAATGATTTTGTTTTACTGGTTATTATATAGTATTATTAAGTAAGTATTCTGTGTTTGAAAGTTTGGGAATAATAATATCCACATCTACATGATGCCTGTAAACACAACAGTATTTATAAATAAGTAAATTGTGTTTTAACTTCGTGACTGTCTCCACAGTTTAGGAAATGGGGTTTATAGAACCTTACATAGGGCCAGCCTGTGGTAGTTTCATGTCACCATCCTTGCCACTGGGGGCCTCTGTCCCAGGGATGGCCACAGGGGCCAAGGAGGAGCCTGGGGGGCTCCCAGCCTCGGGGGTGGGCACTGGTGCTCTCACCCCAGGAGGCCGGGGCCCTGAGAAGGTGGCTTCCTTGGGTTCCCGGGGCCTCTGCCCGCTGCTCCGTGAAGCACTGTCTCTGCAGGGCCACCGCTCAGTTCAGGGCAGCCGGAACCACTCCATGGCTCCAAACTCTAAAGGCAGCTGGTGGGGGTCACTGGAGGTTAAGGTGCTCGGCCGCTGGCAGGGGGGCCAGGGTCGGGCCCTCCGTCTGTCCTAGTGCACCCCATCTGGTTTGCTCAGACCCCATTCACACCCAGCGGAGGCCCCGTCACCGAGCTGGAGGTCACGGAGGTGGGGGAGGGAGGCGTCTTCTCCCCTGCGGCCACCCGGCTGCTGGCCTGCGGCCCAAATCGGAGGCAAAGGATCAGGTCTGGAGTGAGGGCTCCTCTGGGTGCCCGCTGGGCCCGGGGAAGTCAGCGGAGACTGGGCATCGCCTGGAGGCGGTGAGGCCCGGCCCTTCCCTCCTGAAGACTCCCCAGCCCTCATGCTGGGCTGGCCTTGCCCCCCTCAATCCCAGCCTCTGCCAGGCCAGCCTTACAGGCTCTGCCTTCTCGTCCCTGGAGCTTGGCCCTGAGCCAGACGCCCCCCTCCACCTGTGGCAGAGGGGCTGCGGGGGCCTCCCTGAGGATACGGCCCCCAGATCGCAGTGAGGACGGGTCACCCTTCCAGGTCTGGAGGCGGTGCTGCCCTACCGTCTCTTTCCAGAAAATCCTGAAGCCCCGTCCTCGGCCTCAGGAGTCACAGATGTCTGAAGAAGTCGGCTGCGGTGAGCTAACCGAGGGCTTGTAGGAACCGTCCCTCCTCTGACCCCACCCCAGGGCCAGACGGTGGCCGCGCCCCGAGCCCGGCTCTGCTGGCAGTGGGAAGCCGGGGGTCTAGTCCACCCCAGCCCCCGGGAGGCCTCGCCCCAGCAGCTGCCCTGAGGGCCCACGCGCCCACCGCCTAGCTGGACCTGGCCTGGCCTTCTGGTTCCTCCAGCCCCTGAGGGAAGAGCCGTGTCCCCAGCCTCACCCCCACCCCCCCCCCGCCCCCGCGCTGACCCTGGGGGCGGCTCCTGCTCCCCAGCCCAGCAGGAACAACCAGAGACCGCCCCCAGCGTGCTTTCAGCTCATTCCTTTAATAAGGAAATGCCGCTTATTACAAAAGAACATGTTGACAAGAGATGAGACAAGAACAGAGGAGTCCGCGGGGCGGGGGTGGGGGTGGGTGCTGGACATGGGTCCTTCCTGGGACGGCGAAGGCAGGGGTCCTGGTGGGGCTGCGCGTGCCAGGGGGCCTGGGGCCTGCCCGCCATGCTCTTGCAGTCTTCAGACCCCAGGATTTCAGAAGCAGCGGATCCCGCCCTCGGAGAGGAGGCGCCAGGGCAGAACATCTGGCTTCTCGGAAGGGGTCCTGGGGTCCCGATGGCTGAGGGGGGCCCTACGCGCCCCCGGCTCCCGCCACCCCCCCAGCACAAGGGGCCTGGCTTGTAGCGCACAGGGCCCACCTGCCCTCCTGCGGCCTCGTCGGCGCTCCTGTCAGACCCCCTGCATTTCCCCCTCCTCCCATCAGGGCTGGCTGGAGGGGTCGCTCCCGTGCGTGGCGTTCCTCTGCACCGGGGCCTGTGGCTACTGTCCCTCCTGGTTCAGCGAGATGGCTCGGGACCTGGGGTCCCCCGGCCCCCTTCCACCTCCTGCCCTCCCATGGGACACCTGGCCGGGGCTGGGCTGGGGCACTGGTGAGGGTCCCTCGTAGCCAGAGCCGCCCAGCCGCAGGAGAGAGCATGCGGGGGAGCTTGGCCTACCGTGCTCTCCAGCCCCCGGGGTCCCTCCCCACTGCCACCCTTGGCCCCCCAAGCCCCCAGTGTCACGTGAGCAGGGCTGGTTGTCCAGCCGGGCGGCATCAGGGACCTGACCACAGACCCGGCCACCAACAGCTCCTGAGAACCCTCGTCGCCTGCACGGGGTACCCCCATGGCCCATCCACCCCCCTACGTGGAGTCAGACTGCAACACCAGGTGAGGGAGCCGGGCCAGCGGGGGCATCTGCTGGGGCCCCACTGGGAGACCCGGACGCCATCCGTCCTCGCAACGTGGGGCTGGGAGCAGACGTGACGATGGGTGAGCCCTTCACGAGTGTCCTGAGGGGAGCCCTGGGAGGATGGCCCCGCAGGGGCCCCTGTATGGCTTTTCAGTGAATTCAGAGAGTGGGAGGAGGGGGCACACCACACACACACACACACACACACAGGACACAGGGCTGGACGCAGGGCGCCGAGGGTCAGCTCTGCCCACGGTCCCCTGGTCAGACCAGGGCCAGAGGCCAACTCCCCCCGGCGCGTGGCAGGGCAGGGGGGCCGGGAGGGCGAGGGGAAGGACTTTACACACAAAGTCGAAGGAGCAGCTCAAGTTGTGTAAAACGGGGCTGGGGGCACTCAGCATTGCCATGCGGTTATTTACACAGAGTTGAGACATGCATCTTGGTGGGACGAGACTGGGGTCGTGTTCACAGGTGACCACCCTCTCCGTGAGGCTCAAATGGCTTCAGAAGGTTCTTGTTTTGCTGTCGCTTAAAAAATATATTCTTGTGTCTTCAAGTCACAGTGTCCCCCTTCCCAATATTGCAGCTCAAAGAATGGGTAGAATCCTGGTGACCTGTCCCTGCCCCCTGAGGCTAGGGGTGAGGGCGAGGCAGAAGTGGTCGCAGGACTGGCCTGCCAGACAGAGCATGGACGGCGGGGCAGCCTGAGTTTCGGGTGAGTCCCAAACAGCGCCTAGGAGGGACTTACACTTTGAAATTACTGGTTGTTTAGCTGAAATTCAAATTTAACTTGGTGCCCTGCATTTTTATTTGCCAAATCTGGCAACCATGTTGGGGGGCTGAGGGTCACCACGATCAGGCCTGGGGACCCTCCCCTGTCTGCCACCACCCAGGGCAGAACCAGGGCTCTGAGGCAGGAAGGGGGATGGAGTGGAGGGAGACCCAGGGACAGCCTCTCTGTGGGGCTGGGGGAAACAGAAGCCAGACACGTGGTGGGCCGGACGCCCTCCCTCCCCAACCCCAGGGGCGCCCCCCCCCCCCCCAGTTCGCTCACCCACCACCTCCCACTGCAGGGCTGGCGGGGGAGCTGCAGCGACACCACCCCCACCCCTCACTGAAGCCCTGGGCCAGCAAGACCATCTCAAACCGATTCTAGAAGCACAAGCTACATATGGTTCCTGGGAAGTAAAAAGACCAGGCCTGAGGCTGCGTGAATCCCTGCTGTCCCTTCCCCCAGCCGAGCGACCCGGAACGTCACTTCCCATCCGGCCCGGCACCGGTCGCTCATCATAGGGGGCTTCCCCCAGCTTCCCCCAGCCCTCAGCTTGCGCGGCCAAAATCCGGAAACGTGCCCAGAGCCCTGGCGGAGTTGGTTCCACTCTGGAATGATTACTCAAGGAGAAAGGAGGAAACAGAGCTTTCTGGCCTCACCTCCATTTTCTGGGTGGCACTGGGTTTCATTTTTCATGGTTTCAGTCCCTTTGTAAAAATCGCCTCTTCTACTTTCCTCTCTGCAATAGACTTTGGGAGTGAAAACGCACAGCCTGGAGGCCTCCAGCACCCCTCGTAGCCAACCTTAATTCTGTCCCACTCAGGGCAGGATCCCGACACCCCAGAAACAAGCCTGGTGGCAGTGAAGGTGCTCTGTGGACTGGGTAAGGACCCTCAGGTGCAGGACACTTAGGACCAGTGTTGTTTCCCCACCTAGTTTGTGGGCCCGGTAGATGCCTTCTGCTCAGATGGCTCCTCTGAGGCAGGGGCCCAGCCAGGACCGGCCAGAACCCAGGAGAGCACTGCTCCCCTCCCGCGTCCCCTCGGCTCCGCACTGGTGCCCACACTCAACCTCCCTGCCCCTGAGGCTACCCACTCGAGGTGGGCCCAGAGCCGTAATCCAGCCGCGTCTCCGGGCCCAGGACCCCCAGAGCAGCAGACGTGCTGCGGAGCCTCTCCCCTTCCCGCCGGGAGAGAGGCGAGTCCTGGGCTCAGGAGGGTGGACGAGAATCCCAGATGGTGGAAGGTGGTCGGGAAGGGGCGCGAGAGTGAAGGTGGAGGGTGAGAAGTCAGCTCTGGGGGCCCCGGGGGAGGCTGGGGGAGAGGGGGCCCCGAGGAAGCACCAAATCCCATAGCTCTGCAGGGGGGCATCCAGGCCGGGACAGCCCCCTGTGGTCCCCCCCGGGCCTGAAGCCTCACTCTTGTCCTACAGCCCGGGCCCTAGGACCAGCCCACAGTCTTCGTCAGGTCCCAGCTTCTCGGCATCAAGTGAAGAATGACTTCCTGAGGACCAAGGGCCACGAGCAAGCCTGAGGCCCACTGCCCAGCTGCTGCTCCCGGAGGAGACGGCTTCTCACCACCTGCCCAGCCGGGAAACGCAGCCGGGCAGGAACACATGCCTGCTCCTTTCTGACAGTGAAAGAGACGTCCCTCTGCCTCAGGTGCCCGCAGACGCCAGGGTGGCTAGACGGGGTGGGAGGTGCTGCCACGTGTGCTGGGAAAGAGGCGCAGCTCGGGGTCTGGGAAGCCTTGAGTGTTCCGCGCCGAGGAGAGGGCCAGGGCCTGCAGCTGCAGAGACGAGGGCGGCTGAGGGGCCGGGGGCCGGGTGCTCTCGCCCAGGCTGCAGGTTTGGAAGGAGACTCGGTGCACGCTGACTAACGTATATATGGCTTTTTATCGATGCTGGGGACACGAGGTGCGCGGGGAACGAGCACAGTGACCGCGGGGCAGAACCCGGCCCATGTCCTCCGCCACCGCTCGGAATGGCTGCCCTGCTCCTCGGGATTCACAGCAAGTCCCTCAGGAATGCTAGGCGGGGCCTCCCCGCAGGGCCCCTGGGAAAGCTCAGCCAGCTGTCCACTACCCTCCCCTCCTTACCTGGGCCTCAGGGGAACTAAGAACCTGTAAACCTTCCTTTTCAAGCCCTCTGGCTCTGAACGGATACCGTGTCTTCAGACAGAGCTGCTCCCCTTTGATTAAGGGAGGAGCACAGGCGGGAGGGTAAGAGATGCCAGTGACTGCTGGCTCCCGTCCTAGAAAGGGAGCCGGCATCTGGGTCTCCCACCGCAAGGGCAAAGGCCCGGCAGTTTCATTTTGGCCTTTCTGGGAAGCGGGTCTTCTGTTTCTTTGCGGTTGGACATCACCCGTCAGCAAGGTGAGGTCGCGGGACGGACAGTCCCCGTTCGAGTCCAGCCAGTCTAGCCTATAGCTCAGGTCTGTGGTGTCCCGGGAAGCCCCCGGCAGCAGGAGGAGGTCCACGCCGGCAGCGGGCTTTGGTCCTGGCTCTGCACAGTCCAGTCTCCCCGTCTCGCCTCCCAAACAGCCACTCCCACGCAGCGTGGGAGCTCCCCAGTCCGAGCAGGGTTCTAAGCCCTCTGCTCCCACACGGCACCCTGTCCGCGGCCCTCCACGAGCACAGAGGATGCGCACACACGCACGGATCCCTGGCCGCTGGTTGCCTTCCGTCAGGAGTCAGGAGGTGCTGCCATTCCGTTGGTCCGGAACGCTCAGAAAATGCCACCACTTTCTGCCAAGAGAGCCTCCCTCGAGGTGAGGGCTGGGCGGAGCTTTGGAGGAGGAGGGTGGCGGGCATGCAGCGAGGAAGCTCCCGGGGCGACGACGGGCCAGGCTTCTCTCACCTCCGAGGGGCCCTCCTCAGCCACCATCGGAGGGAGGGGGGTCTTTAGAAAGAGGACGAGGGCAGAGGAGCGAGGGCACGGCCGCACACGGGTGGGCAGGGATGCCTCGAGGGCTGCCCAGCTGAGGCAGCAGCGGCTCGGGCCGCGGCCCCTACTTGTTCTTGCCCAGCAGCGCGTCCACCTCCTCCTCGGGCTTGAGTGAGTGCCACTGGGCGATGGGCCGGCGGGGGTTGGCCAGCATGTCAGACCAGTGCCGCAGCTCCGTGCCTGTGGCACTGCTGCCCACGAAGATCTTGCCGATGGCTTCGTTCTTGCCCAGCTTGTCGTAATCCAGCACGGTGACCACCACCTGGACTTTCTGCAGGGGGCAGAGGGAGGGGCAGTGGGCAGGAGAAGGACCCGGCGGCCGGCCCCTCCCTCCCCAGCTCCAACTGGGCGGGCGGGCACACAGAGGCGGGGCCCGTGCCTCTGACGCATCCTTCGCTTCTACCAACGACTGAACACAGGCCCCCGGCAGCGTGCTGAGCGCCTGGGAGCAGAAGGGCAGACGCATCCTCGCAAGGTGACAAAGGTCACACCCGAGAGGCCAGCAGGAGGCACCTCGGGACCTCAGAGGGAGTGACGTCCGGCTGGTGAGTTAGGGCAGGCTTCACGGAGGAAGTGACCTGGACTGGGGGGTGGAGGGGCAGCAGGGGGAGGTGGGCGTCCACCGCCTCAGCGGCTGCAGCCTCTCCACACACGCGCCCTGCCACCAACCTCGAGGCCAAAAGGAGGTGTCTGTGAGCAGCTCCCACTCACCTCCCCAGAAAAGGGGCGGGCTGGGAAGTGCCGGGCATGGCCGGCCGGCCGTCTGTAGCAGTCAGTGGGGGAGGTCACCCGCCCCACGTCCACCCCTGCCAGCCCAGCACCTGGATCTGCTCGAAGGGGATCTCGAAGCTGAAGGACTCGTTGAAGTACGGGTTCAGGGTCTTCTTCTTCACTGTCGTCTTCTTCTTCTTGAGCCTCTTGCCGTTCTGCATCAGGTGGATCTTCACGTAGGGGTCTGTGCGGAGGCAGCCGGCAAGGCCCTGAGCACGCGCCCGGCCCGCCAGCCCAGGGACGGCAGAGCCAGCTTCCAGGCCAGGGCGGCCAGAGGCTTCACCTCTGGGACCCTGCCATGGCTGTGGCCGCCTGGAGCTCAGAGCTCTGCTGGGACTGGGACGGGCCTGCGCCAGCGCTCGGTGAGGAGCCAGGGGGCCACTTGGTGGTGTCCGTCCTGGGCAGGGGGCACGGCAGCGACCCACCCCATCCCATCCTTCTGACCTTAGCAACGGGGCCCAGAGAAGGGCACCTGTCTGCCCGAGGTCACACGGGGGCTCAGGGACAGAGCTGGGCTGGCGGGAACCTGAGCAGTTCAGGAGGCCGGGCAGTCGCACCCCCCAGCCCCCCAGAGCCCCTTCCAAGGCAGGGCCACCCCCATCTCCGCCCCCCCCCCCACCGGTAGAAGGGCCCGCGTCAGGCCGAGCCCTCCCACCACCTGCCCTCCCTGTCCCTGCCTCACCTGGGGGTGACGTCCCTGACCCCTTCCCTCCAGGGCCCACAGGGAGAGCAGCGGAAAGGCAGCTCTCAGCGGGGCTCCCCGCCCCGTCCTGCCCTGAGGACCCAAAGCCGCTCAGACAGCCTGTGTGTCCCACGCATCTGAGGCCTGCTATCCAGGTTGAGGGCTCTGGGCCGCGACCGGCTGGCAGGTGCCCCCCGATGGCGGCCAGAAGCCACGCACACACCTGAAAGGCCACCCACGTCCATCTTCTTGAGGTTCTTGGCCTCCAGGATGCAGACGGTGAGCTTCCCAGCCGTGGGAACGTAGCGCAACGAGGTGCAGATGTCACCCAGCTTCTCCGGCTGTCGGGGGAAGGGGACGCGGTCAGCGCAGCAGCGCCTGTGTCCAGCACGGCTGACCCCCTCGGGGCCTCAGGCCAGGGGTGGCACAGCCCTGGCCGTGACAGGTGGACACTGCAGCGCCGAGGACAGGCTGCTGGCGGTGTGGGGTTTGCCGGGGCCCCTCCCCAGCCTGGCAGGCGGCGGAGGGGGACGAAGAGGGGATGCGGGGAGCCCCCCCTTCCTGATCACAGCCATCCCACTTGCAGAGCGAGCTGCTGTCCTCCAAGCCCTCGGCATCCCTTTCCTTGTGTTAGCGTCACAGGGCAAGGACCTCGTGACTAGCAAGAGGGGGCTCCTGGGCCCGAGAGCTCGGCCAGCGCCATGGCACAGTCGAGGCTTCTCAGAGGCGGGCCTCGGGACCCAGGCTGGCCACCTCGCCCACAGCCCGGTCAGGGTGCTGACCCTTCCTTCGGGCGACCTGAGCCCCGAGGTGAGGAAGGGCACACCTCACATGCGCGGACTCGGCCAACAGCCCTGCTGGTGCTTGGAAGGGATGGTGGCTAAATGGGGGCTTTGGTACACAGTAGGTGCTCAATAAATATTTGGCGAATGAGTGAGTGCGTGCTGTGGCAGTTTCTAGGAAGACAGGCCCCCCTTGCTGAGAATCCTCTAGAACAATGTGGGCTCTCCCTGTGGGTGAATGTGGTCCCCAGGTGGGTCACCGGCCCTAAGTGGGCCCAGAGCCATGGGAGAAACACGAGTGACGCATCCTGTCCCCCTGAGGTGCCCCCTCGTCTGCAGACACAGAGCCGGGGGCGTGGGGCGGACCCGCCAAGCTCTCCCGCTCTCACCTCCTCCTTCTCTCCGCCCTGCAGGTCCCTCCACTCCTCGATGGGCTGCCCCAGGTCCACGGTGTTCATGGGCACCTTTACCTCCCCGATGATGTCGTGTTTGGAGAAGCGGTCAAAGTCGTAGATGGCCATCACCAGGGTCTTGCCCCCCAGCTCCTGGTAGGGCACCTGCAGGGCACAGGCAGGATGGAGGGGTCAGGGCAGCTCGGGGCCTCTGGGGGCCCTGCAAGACACCTGCCAAGTCTGCGGACACCCGGGCTCGGGTCCAGGCCAAGCTGGTTCTGGGCCTCAGCCACAGCCCAGGACCAGGGGAAGGTCCACAGCGGGCCAGCCTGTCACCTTGAAGGTGAAAGTCTCGTTGAAGGCGGGGTTCAGCGTCTTCCGATGGACTTTGGTCTCATATTTCTTCTTCTTGTCTGGAAGGAGGAAGACCTTGACATAAGGGTCCGAGGTGCCGCCCATGTCCAGGGCGGGCAGCTCCGCGGCCTGCAGGACGCCCACGGTGAGCTGTGGAGTGAGTGGGCGCCGGGTCAGCCCCGAGAGGGCGGGCGGGTGCTGGACAGGAAGTCGGCCTCCATCTCCCTCCCCGGGGAATCGGAGTAACACGGGGGAGACAGTCGCCGCGAGGTGACTGGTCTGCCCGAGGAGGGCAGCACGTGGACGGCGGGCAGGCTGAGCACAGCCCTTCTTCCCTACAGCCAGGGTGCCCGCCCCGTGGAGCCCTGGGGGCCGCCCCCGCCCCCGCCCCGCGCACCTGGTTGGCCTGGAAGTCATAGTCCAGGGAGAACTGCAGCTTCCCCAGGTTCTCCGGCTCCTCGCCCTCGCCCTCGCCCTCGCCCTCCGTCAGGCCCGTCTCGGCGTCATCATCGTCCTGGGGGGCTGAGGAGGGGAGGGAGGGTCAAGGGAGAAAAGGCGGGGAGCCTGCCCCCGTGCAGACCCCAACCCAGAGCTGGAGGGGCTCCGTCGGGCCCCGCTTCCCCTCAGCCCCCAGCCCGGCCCTGTCCCTGCGGGGCCAGCACGGCCCAGATGCCATGCGGCTTCTTGAGTGGTGGAGCCTCCCTGTGACCCCCACCCCGCCCCCAGCTCAGGCCACCACGTGGGCAGCACGTACCAGGCGTGCAGGCCGGGCGTCCAGGCCAGGCGAGTCCACAGGTGGGAGGAGAAGGGAGAGAGTGGTAAGAAAATCCTGCAGCTCAGGCCAGCCGCATGGCAGGGCCGGGGCCCCCACAGGCTCACACGCACACGCACGTCCACGTGCGTGCTCACACACGCTCTCACACACATGCACACGCAGACTCAAAGGCCACGGCCCCTGGCTGACCTCCTGAGATCAGCCCTCCTTCCTCCCTCCACACTGATTCCTTGAGCAAGAAATTCCTCCCAGAACAAACATGGGGAAAGTGAGGCGCCCGGGGCCTCTGCAAACTTAAAAGGAGACACAGGTACATCAGGGCGTCTTCCAGGCTGCTCCCTGAAAGATGGGGAGAAGAGCCACGTCCTTGTGGACGAGAGATGGACCCAAAGGGCCCCACAATGAGGACATGGTCCAGCAGCCCTGCCGGCAGGAAACCGGGTCACACGATGGTGGCTTCCTGGTGGGCGGGGGTCTCTCTTCCCAGCATTTTGTCCCAACGGCCTCCTTTCGGGTCAGTCAAGGACAGTCCCTGCTGACCTGAGCGAGCTCTTCCCACCTGGAGAGCATCGAGGGGCCTCTGGTCACCCGGCCCCGCCTACCTGGCCACCCTTCATGTCCTTCATGTTCATGGCGTTCTTGGCGCCCTTGCCCTTCTCCTTCTTGTTCTTCTTCTTCTTCCAGCAGCACTTCTTGCAGATGCAGAAGCAGCAGGTGAGGAGCAGAAGGCCCAGGAGCACCGCGATGGCGCCCAGCGCCCAGGGGGGCACTGCCCACAGGGAGACGGGGTCAGCAGCGCTCGGGCAGCCCCGACCCCTCGAGGATAGAAAGCTGGGTCGGGGCCCGGCCCCGCTGCCGCACCCCGCGTTGTAAACCCACGTTAAGTTGCATGCTTCGGTGCCCTCCCCTTTCTGCCACCCCAGCAGGGACAGCCTGTGACAGGGACAGCAGCCAGGCGCACACCACGGGGCCCTCATCTGGGCTCTGCTGAGATCTGACAACTTTGACCCTTGGAACTGTGGCTCACACGAAGGATGGGAGGGTCCTCATCAGACCCCGGTGGGGTAGGAAGGCCCGGCCCTCAGGCGCAGTCCTGAGAGGGCTAAGCCTGTGCCAGGAGGCCGGGCTCAGAGGGCCCGCGGGTCTGGGGAAGTGCGGGGAGGGGCGGGCCGCGGGCCGGCCGGGGCTGCTCTCTGAGGTGCTGAAGCACCGCCTCCCTCCAGTGGGGCTGCTCCCCGAATCCGGACCTCGGGTTTCTCCCCACAGCCTTTACCAGAAATCCAGGAAGCAGTAGGGGGTTTTATTTTCTATCTTGCAAAATAAAGTAGTTTTAAAGTATGACTGGAAAACTTGAATAATGATTTCTGTTTCATAATTTTTTATCTTCTTTTGGTTCCATCTTTTGACAGATTTCTAAGTATAAGAACGTTTATCCCCCCTGGAGGTTAGGGCACATAAACCCCCTTGTTCCCTTCATTAGTGCCAGACCATACTGCCCCCCCATTCCTGAAGGGGATCCCCAAATAATCGAGTCCAAACATTAGGAAAGATCGCGGCTGTCACACCCCCATGGTGCACCCGCCCACCCTCGCCCCCAAGCTGCATACAGATCGATACTCACGAGGGAACTTGACCATCTCATTGAAGAATCGGTCCTTCAACGTGGCAAACAGGTCCCCCTTGCCCTCCCTGGCGCCTCCGCTCTCGGTGGAGTTGTCCAGGGGCTCAGCAGGCATGGTGGTGGTGGTGGTGGTGGGAGCCACCATGGGCTCCTGGTTCCTCTTGAAGATGTTCCTCATGGTGGCAGATGGACGGCTATGGGTGAAGGGGACAGGATGAGCATCCCACGGGCCCGAGTGCAGACGGCTCTGCCCACGGGCCAGGAGAGGCTCTTCCAAAAGCTAAAGACTGTTTATGAATAAAGGCCATATACAACAAACCCACAGCAAACATCATTCTCAATGGTGAAAAAATTAAAGCATTTCCTCTAAGATCAGAAACAAGACAAGGATGTCCACTCTCGCCACTATCATTCAACATAGTTTTGGAAGTCCTAGCCACGGCAATCAGAGAAGGAAAAGAAAGAAAAGGAGTACAAATTGGAAAAGAAGCAGTAAAACTGTCCTTGTCTGCAGATGACATGATACTTACATAGAAAATCCTAACGATGCAACCAGAAAACTACTAGAGCTCGATGAATTTGGTAAAGTAGCAGGATACAAAACTAATACACAGAAATCTCTTGCATTCCTATATACTAACAATGAAAGATCAGAAAGAGAAATCAAGGAGACAATCCTATTTACCACAGCATCAAAAAGAATAAAATACCTAGGAATAAACCTACCTAAGGAGGCAAAACATCTGTACTCAGAAAACAGTAAGACACTGATGAAAGAAATCAAAGATGACACAAGTAGATGGAGAGATATATACCATGTTCTTGGATGGGAAGAATCAATATTGTCAAAATGACCATACTACCCAAAGCAATCTACAGATTCAATGCAATCCCAGTCAAATTACCAATAGCACTGTTCACAGAAATAGAACAAAAAATTTCACAATTTGTATGGAAACACAAAAGACCCCGAATAGCCAAAGCGATCTTGAGAAAGAAAAACGGAGCTGGAGGAATCAGGCTCCCTTACTTCAGACTATACTACAAAGCTACAGTAATCAAGACAGTATGGTACTGGCACAAAAACAGAAATACAGATCAATGGAACAGAATAGAGAACCCAGAAATAAACCCACACACCTTTGGTAAATAAATCTATGACAAAGGAGGCAAGAATATACAAGGAGAAAAGACAGTCTCTTCAATAAGTGGTGCTGGGAAAACTGGACAGCTACACGTAGAAGAATGAAATTAGAACATTCTCTAACACCATACACAAAAATAAACTCAAAATGGATTAAAGACCTAAATGTAAGACTGGGTACTATAAAACTCTCAGCAGAAAACATAGGCAGAACACTCTTTGACATAAATCGCAGCAATATTTTTTTTGATCCACCTCCTAGAGGAATGAAAATAAAAATAAACAAATGGAACCTAATTAAACTTTAAAGCTTTTGCACAGCAAAGGGAAACTATAAACAAAACCAAAAGACAACCCAGAGAATGGGAGAAAATATTTGCAAATGAAGCAACCAACAAGGGATTAATCTCCAAAATATACAAACAGCTCATGCAGCTCAATATCAAAAAAACAAATAACCCAATCAAAAAATGGGGTTAAGATCTAAATAGACATTTCTCCAAAGGCATACAGATGGCCAACAAACACATGAAAAGATGCTCAACATCACTAATTATTAGAGAAATGCAAATCAAAACTACAATGAGCTATCACCTCACACAGGTCAGAATGGCCATCATCAAAAACTCTACAAACCATAATGCTGGAGAGGGTGTTGAGAGAAGGGAACCCTCCTACACTGCTGGTGGGAATGTCAATTGATACAGCCACTATGGAGAACAGTGTGGAGGTTCCTTAAAAAACTACAAATAGAATTATCATACGACCCAGCAATCCCACGACTGGGCATATACCTGGAGAAAATCATAATTTGAAATGATACATGCACCCCAGTGTTCACTGCAGCTCTATTCACAATGCCAAGACATGGAAGCAACCTAAATGCCCATCAACAGATGAATGGATAAAGAAGATGTGGTACATATATGCAATGGATTATTACTCAGCCATAAAAAAACCAAAATAATGCCATTCACAGCAACATGGATGGACCTAGAGACTGTCATACTGAGTGAAGCCAGACAGAGAAAGACAAGTATCATATGACATCACTTATATGTGGACTCTTAAGAAATGGTACAAATGAACTTATTTACGGAACAGGAATAGAGTCACAAACGTAGAAAACGAACTTATGGCTAATAGGGTGGGGGGGGGG